CTGGTATGAAACACAAAGGCAGGGCACTGCCAGCTGACCCCCTGCAGCCTCCTTCCAGCTTCCTGCAGCCATGCAGGTGAAGCTCACTGCTGTCTGAAAGCTGTGCGGTGACCTTTAACTGCCTTAATTTGTTCAGATGAAGGTGAAGAGCAAGAACTGAATTTATAGGAACCGGACCGTTCATTTGCAAGGTGTTTGCTCACAGTAGACTTCTACTGTAATAATCTCCTGGTGATTTCTTGCCCAGTTTTATTCAAGTAAATCACTGCAGTTTTAGGGATGTGCGCTGATACGGGGAAACTTCATTCAGCTGGAAACATCCTGCTGATGGAAAGTAAATCATCTTAGGCAGAACAGAAACAGTATGGGATTTATTTTCTCTGCTAGGTAATTGGAAAGCCCCACGTATGTCTTTTACAGTGATGCAGGCAGTTTGAAGCCACACACGCAGGAAGTCAGCAGGAAGCGTTTCAGCAGCTTTTGCTCGAGGTTTTGGAGCAGTTACAAAGTCCAGGAGATGAGGCAGCCCTGTGACAGGAGGAACAGCCTGCACACAAACCAGCTTTAAGGAGCTCCTTGCTCCACACCTCGGGTACAGAACCAGTTTTCCTTGAGAGCCCTTGGAGGACAGGGACTGTGAGAGAGGAAATAGGTGTAAACATGGTGTTTGTCTTCATTAAATATAGAGGAAGAAAAAAGGAGTAAAAGAAGTTAAGGATTGGTCAACTTCTAGAAGCTTCCAAGGGAATTGCACTACAGTCAGTTTTTAAGCACCTAGGAAATAAAAGGGGAGATGATTGACATCCCACATGGATTATTCAAAAATGAGGCATGTTAGACTGATCTCATTTCCTATTTTGGTAGGAAGCAGGACAGGAATAGTTCATAGAATCATAGTATCATAGAATGGCCTGGGTTGCAAAGGTCCACAGTGCTCATCCAGTTCCAACCCCCTGCTGTGTGCAGGTCACCAACCAGCAGCCCAGGCTGCCCAGAGCCACATCCAACCTGGCCTTGAATGCCTGCAGGGATGGGGCATCCACAGCCTCCTTGGGCAACCTGTTCAGTGCCTCACCGCCCTCTGGGTGAAAAGCTTCCTCCTAATATCCAACCTAAACCTCCCCTGTCTCAGTTTAAAACCATTCCCCTTGTCCTATCACTGTCCACCCTTGTGAGCAGTTTTTCCCCCTCCTATTTATACGCTCCCTTCAAGGGTTGGAAGGCTGCAATGACGGCTCCCTGGACCTTCTCTTTTCAAAGCCAAGCAAGCCCAGCTCCCTCAGCCTTTCTTTGTAGGAAGGTGCTCCAGATGGACAAGGACTGACCTGGGTGAACTGAATTCCGGCTTGGATCATTCCTCAGCTCGAGATGCAGCCCTGCTGTGCTGGAGGGACTGTGTGCTCCATCCAGAGCTGCCCTTTCCCAGCAGCTGGTCACCACATGTCAGCAGGGACATGCAGCAAAGTGAGCTAGGGCTTTGCTTCTTTAATGCGTCCATTTTTTGGTGAGAGGCTGAAGGCGTGTGAGTGCTTTGCTGAATGGAAGCCAAGGCGATTCTCTATGCAAAATGCAACCCCTGTTTCCAAGTATTTCATTTATTTTGCAATTAAGCAATAATCACTGAGGCACTGGGCGCTTCTTCAGGATTAATGACTTGCTGGGGGGTGGCAGAAGATCTGCTCTGCAGTGGAGCCCTGCTCCCCAGCAAATACCTATCTGTTAATGGCATCCTAAAATGAGTATGACAATATAATGTGCAAACATATGGACTTTGTGTCAGTGGCTGATGGATAGGAAGTAGGCATTGATAGGTACATTAGACAGGTTGATTCAGTTCTCTCGCACCATTCCATTCAGCGCATGCTGTTTCATTAATCACTTGGTGAATGAAATGGCTTTTTAATTGCTTAGAATGGTTTTCAAAAATTACATCATTGTCTCCCCCCCCACAGCAACTCCCGGGATCCTCTTAAATCCTTTTTCTTCCTCTGCCCTGGGAAGAACAGGCTCTCATGTGGCAGAAAGGAGCCTGCCTACAGCAGCTTCCTTTGTATTTCAGGCACAGAAAAAATAGTAGCCATTTAGCAAACAGAGAATTCACATTTTTACTGCTGAAAATCCTCAGTTCCTGCTAATTTGCAAGTTGCTTAAGGACTGGCCCACCCTGCCTGAACCTTTAACAACTTGACAGTCATAATGCCTGCTCTTTTCTGTTTGTTCCTTTGCATTTTTAGTGGTCACAGTATCGAAAACCCATTGCAGCTTGCGTGCTGAAGCACACAAGCGGGATTCATAGAATCACAGAATCATATAGTCATAGAATTAGAGTCACAGAATTATAGAATCATAGAATCATAGAACCATAGAATGGCCTGGGTTGCAAAGGTCCACAGTGCTCACCCAGTTCCAACCCCCTGCTGTGTGCAGGTCGCCAACCAGCAGCCCAGGCTGCCCAGAGCCACATCCAGCCTGGCCTTGGATGCCTGCAGGGATGGGGCATCCACAGCCTCCTTGGGCAACCTGTTCCAGCATGGATTAAGCCTCTCCCTAACACTGTACCTCCCCAGGGTGGTCCCATAGGCAATAAGGCACAGTTCTGCAGAAAGGTGAATCCCAAGCAGTTGAGTGGCAGCGAGAACATTCCCAAAGAACCATTGGAAAAGCTGCCAGAGGATCCCAGCAATCAACTCAGCGAGGCAGGCAAGAAGAAAAACATTTGCTAAGAGCATATAGGACAATAAACCAGTTCACAGTGTCCTAGTAGTCTTTGGAACAGCACTAGTCAGTGGGGATTCGCTCGCTCCAATCTTAGGTAATGTGCTCACGGCACGATTGATTAATCCGCAGGTACTTCCTACAGCAGAACTTCAATACTGGCATCGCTGCGCTGCTTTTAGTCGTCGTGGCTGCCTTCCCAGAGAAATTTCACAGAGGAACAATCGGGTTTTTTTCCTCCGTGTTCTTTTATGCTCCGTTTCAAAGCAGTGCTTTTATGCCCGCGCTTTGAATGATGTCAACGCGTTGCCCCGTCAGCAGGATGTTCACTGAGGGATACCGCAGCCGCTCTGCACCGCTTGGTTCTGCCTCCGGAGAGCAGGGAGCCCCGTGATGTGGCAGGGAATTGGGAAACATGGAGAAACATGGAGTGTTTAGATGTGGAAGCGTTGGGCAGCAACTTCACGGCATGAGGCTTTCTCTGAGTTGCCCAGAGCCAACATTCAGCCCTCTGTAGCCCAGACTCCCACCCCAAAACAGCCGAACACAAGGAGTGAATTATTTCTGGTGGTGCTTTTTCTGAATGCCCACAGGGTCCCTGCTCTGCAGAGCTCACAGAGGAGCCGGTGCTCTACTGAACTCAGGTGGGGCTGGTGCAGACCCTGTGCTTTGTGCCAGTCACAACTCTTCAGGCTTGACTGCAACTTTTGGCAAGGCAGACATTCCCCAGAAGCTATTAGAGAGCGTCCAAAGGAGGGCTCTGAGATGGGCAAAGGTCTGGAGAGCATGGAGAGCGAGGAGCACTGAGGGCCCTCAGTCTGCTGGGCTCAGTGCCATGGTGGGAAAGCAGGGGGTTGGTCACTGGTGTCAGAAAGCCTTTCCGTGAGGTTCACATCAGGGGAAGTAGCTGTCATTGTGCTTGTATCAGCTTTGTTCTTCATGTAGTCATCTGTTAATAACACGAGGCTGGCATCCAGCTCTGCTCTTCATGCCATCCCAGCACTGTATCTATTGCACTCTTGCATATGATCCTTGCTGCTCTTCCTCTCCCTGGGGGAGATGCCAGCTCTGGTCAAAACCTCGGTTTGTGTATGTGATCTAGCAAAAAAAGAAAGAAGAATCGCATTATAGACAGGATGCTAGGTTCTATTAGTGAACATATCCATTACTGAAGGACTGTACGTTGTCCATTGAGATCTGCAGATGAGAAAGGAAGAACTTCATTTTGGCTAAGCAGATCATCCTCTCTGCTAATATCTAAGAGACAGGATCATAACTTATGTCTTCACTGGGAAGAGTTGCTGTCAAGCACAATTAGCTCTGTGAACTCGAGCTGTTCTCTGGGCTCGCCCTGGCTTAGTCCTTGAGTTTTAGAGATGAGGGGTCAGTTTTCTACCCTGCCCATGGCAATGTCATGCTACAAAATGGAGGGATGTGTTTCCTGTGTCCGGCAGGCCAGCTGTGTGTCTACAGAGAGGACCCAAGCTATAATGGCACAGGTCTCATAATCTTATTTCCTATTCATGCTTGCCTGAACCCAGGCAGCTGCTTGGCACATTTTGCACAGGAGAAGTGATTCTGGCAGCAGGTCCAGCCAGGCTGCAAGGACTCACCCCATCAGGTAGCTCTGACAGCACAGACTGATGGAGCATCCAACGCATGGAGCTGCAGGACTTCATTCCTGCAGTGCTTCCTGAGGGATACATAACATCCTCCATGCTGCAGAGCTCCCAGCGCTGCCTGGGAAGGAGGGAGGCATGGAGGCTTGGAAATATGTCAGGTGCTACATTTATCCACGACTACGGCCCCGTGCGCAGAGGGGGATTTTGACTTGCTCCTTTTGGAAGGCACCCAGGAGTTACTATGAAAAGGACTAGACAAAAAATAGTTTTCTGTCTTTTTTTTTCAGTTGTTAAGATCTGATCTGTTGGTTGTTGTAAGCAGCAATATACTTCCATAGGCCTTGTCAGAAAAGATAAGGTAGGACCTGGAAGCCTCCCTGTGCAAACAGGCGACGTCCAGCACTTACAGAACTGCTGGGTGCAGGGACAGACTGCGCCGGCCCTACACGAGACCTTGACAGAGAGCAGAAGGGATGCTAATTCCAGGCTCTGGGCTCAGATGCATTAGTGGTGAGCAGCCAGAAGAGTTTGAAAAGAAATGATGACTAAATTAAGTGAATCAAGCTGGCAGATGTGCTCTTCAGACGAGCGCAGCTCTGTTTTCAATGTCTCCCCCACTGAATGACATTCTCAATAGGTTTTTGTCCTCTGCTTTCTCTTCAGGATCATCCATGAGGATGGCTTCTCTGGAGAAGACGTGAAGCAGTACAAGCCAGTGGTCTACAGCAACACTATACAGTCGCTGGCAGCTATTGTACGTGCCATGGATACCTTGGGCATCGAATATGGTGACAAGGAACGAAAGGTGAGTTAAAATCTCCACTTCTTGGTACGAAGAGTTGAGAACTGGGACACTCCTCAGCACAAACAAAACGTGTCTGCACAATCTGAATGTCTTGGGGGGGGAAAAGAAGGGAGGGGAAATGTTTACATCACTGTTACATGCCCATTGCATGGAGCTTTTTAAGAAATAGGTGTGTAGGTGCAATTACACATGACGTAACAGCTAAGATAGGAAGTGTCACAACAACCAGAATCTCTCATGCCCTGGCACTGGCCAGGCCACGTGAAAAATAATTCTGTTCATCTGAGGGCAGTGAAGTAGAGGTACTGATAGATCTGAGGAAAGAGAGAGAAGATGTGTCCTGTCTGCTGTCTGTGCACAGGGTGGGTGTAGGAATGTCTCAGGGAGAAGTCTTGCTGCTCTTCAAATCCCTTCCGCCAGCTGCTAATGTAGGAAGGCTTTTAGAATGAACTGCACTTAGCAGGGACTTGACTGACTTTCACTCACGTGTCTGCTGTTCAAGCGTGTCCAAACAGCGATCTTGCTTGCAAACGGGAGGATCTGTTACTTCACTAAGGCTTTTACAGGCAGGATCTTAGGTAGCAGTGTTAGTATAAGGCCATCAGAAGAACAGTTTGATGTCTGGCAGCCTTGTGAGGCCACGCACCTAAGCTAGCCAGACCTTTCCCCATTGCTCCTCTGTTCTTTTAACTGGCTCCCTATTTTTAAAGTCTCCTTTACCAGCTGCCTGTGCTATCCTTTGCCTTTCCTTCCTGCATTTCTAGATCAAAGCAAACCCACATGGAGAAGCACAAGGCACTAGAGAAGTCGAGATCACTCTTTTTGCAGAAGGCAACACTACTTGGTTTCACTGGAAATATAACCATTTCAGTTTCAAGACCTGTTAAGGGCAAAGTCCTGTATGCCACTGAGTTTATCATGGCTATTTTTAGGTAGCTATCAAATGACAGATGTATTACATACCCCAAACTCCTTATCTAAGAGTTGATAATAAAAGCATTTGCTGGAAAGGATGCCAAAATCCTGCTGTAGTGTTGCTGTATAAAGAGGTACCTTACGTCTCCCAGTCGCAAAGGGGTGTTTTGATTTCTTTGCATCGAGGGATCTTTCCCACAGAAACCCTAAATCCCGGAGACTCTTTCATCCCAAACACAGCAATGATACAATAATGGAGTTCTTGTGAGCCTGCCGAGAGCTGATGCTGATGGCTTTCAAACTGACTACATTAATCTGTTGATTACTCAGTGACTCAGCTCTCAGCAAGGCAACGTATCTTGCCTCAGTAAAAACCTATGTCCAGGAAAACAGAAACAAATCATTCCCCATGTCTGATAAACAGTCTGTGGCAGACAGCTTTAAACTGTAAATTCTCTTTTCCCTGTTTAATGCCTGAAATCCTAATTCTAAGGGGGGAAATTCAGCACTGCCCAAGCGCCAGGCTTGCAAAACTGGGGGCATAGATGGGGAGAGCTGTTATCAGAACTGCCAGAATGAGGGGAAGGGCACTGGGCTGCATGGAATGTCACGTCCATTCATCTGTTCCTATGGAAAAGATTTGGAGTATCTTCTCCCTTTGTAGACATAATACAAAGGAGAGCAGAGAAGCCAAGCCTGTCTGCGTGGTCTTCCACTTGCTCCTTTCTTTTAGTCAACCTCCACAGAAAGTTGCTGGTATTAGCAGCAAATACTATTTATTTTAATCTCACAAAGAAGTGCACGGCTTCTGCTACCCCACTTTTGTTATTAATACACAGCTGCTGTAGAGGCCATTAAACAGGCGATTTGTTGAGCATTATGCTGCACAGTTCATCCCTTTTCAAGCAAAGCTTTTCTATTTTAAAAGTCATTCCACAGCCAAGGGTTTCCGATGCAAATCTTTTTGTGAGGGATTTTCCCTACTCATCACTTAAGCCCCCAGGAAAACAGACCTGGCCAAGGGGAGCAGGGGCTGGGGCTGCTCCCAGGTGACTTGGAGCAAGGCAGCAGAGGACATGGGGCCGGGGACTGTCTGGTTCCTACAAAGCCACCCAGACTTCATGGGAGATGCATCTCCCCCTTATTCTTCACAATGTCACCCAGACCATTAGATTGAGGTGCTTAGATTGAGGTGAAAAACAGCCTCACTCTCCCTCCTGTAATAGATGAATTGGATGGTCTGTGCTTTTGCTATTGAGGAAAAGTAACCAAGCCCTCTCTTACCCATCTCCTTTTTCTGCTGCCCTTAATTATCCCTCTGCTATTTATTCTAGAGGGAGTGCAACGCTGGGGGAAGATCTGGGCTAAACCTCCTTGCTTCAGTCAGCCACACAGTGACCAAAATAGGAAACAGGAGCTGAAAAGACAAAACTAACCACAAAAAAGTCTTGCTGACCCACTCTGCTGATAAGGGCCTGCCTGCAGGTTGGGAACAGAGCTGTGTAGGATCTCACTGTTAGGCTGGTCCTTGCTCGCAAGAAGATGCTCTCTTTCAGATGACATTTGGGGCTGTCGTCCTCTTCCCTCTGTCACCAGAGGATGCTGTGCAGTCGCTGCTGCCTCCCCATAGGTATGAAGCAGTGTGTGGGACAGACCCTTTTCATAAGAGCTGCTCCTCTTTCAGCCTTTCTCTCCTTGTCAGATGCAAAGACCAGCCAGTCTCTCCCATTAAGAGCAGAGCCAGCTTTCTTGCCCCTCCCCGAGGCGCACTGCAGTTACCGTCATTCACATTTTTGGGCAGAGAAGACGCACAAAGGCAGGACGTTTCTCAAGAGGTGGGAAAAGCCAAGCAAAAAGGAAATCCCGTGCTATTTCCACAGCCTGCCCTGTTGCCGGGGAGATGTTGGCTTGCTCAGAAAGCCGTGCTGTTGCCCGGAGTGCCCCATGTGCTGCTGGAAAGTAGGAGTGGGGGAAAAGAGGGCACAAAGAACTCAGAGAGCCCTGCCCGAGTTCTGCTGGAGGCTCTGTTCCTGAAAGCTCCATCTTCCATGTCCCATGAACGTATTTTCCTCTTTTGTCACCTTGCACTCCCTTGAGCCCCTGAAAACACAAAATCTTGCCCTGATCAGCAATCCCATTAAATAACAGCAGAGAAAGATGATCTTTGCATAGCAAGAGCAACCACCCCAGAAGCAGAGGCTGTTTTCCCATAGTCATACTACTAATATAGGTAGCATTTAGACCGGAGACAAAATAACCTTCTACCAAGGCTATCACGCGTTGCTCCTACAGACAGAATTTGGCTTGGAAGAGCCTTCCATTTAAAAAAGGCTGTAGAGCTGAAGCTGCCAAGCCTTCGTGCAGAGTTTACTCAGAATAAGTTTGTCGGTTTGTACTCCTTTCCAACCTGGGTAATTACAGCAGAAAACTGGCAATTCACTTAAGGTTAAAATGTGATCTGAGAGCTGGCATCGCCTGCGTTTTGCCTATTTATAGGGCAGCAGTAGTAGCTGTAACTGATAGGATCCCAGTCTGCTGCGGACATGTAATGGTGCTGGTAAGCAGGAAGAGGTCCTGGGTTTGTGAAGGAGGGGGCTGATACCCACTCAGTGGAAAGAGGAGGGATGGGGACTCAGATAGAAACAGCCTAGAAAGTGGAACAGCAGTGGAATGAGCGACTGATTGCACCGAATCCTCTGTACCCAGAGTTGGATCCAACCTGCCTTTCTTCCAGCAGAACCCTATCAAGCACAATCTGAGCTCTAAGATCCAGAACTTCCTTCCCCCTTTATCTCCCCAGGGTGGCCTAGCAAATCCATTCTTGGTTGAAATTCCTGTAAAAAAGCCCTTTTGCAATAGAGCTGAAAGGAGGCAGGGGAGGGTGGGTGCTGAGCTGGGGCTGTGCCACCTTGCTGAGCACTCTGCGCTGACGTTTCACATGCTGGTCCTGCTTTGGGATGCTGTGTTGGCATTGCAGTCTGTTCACCCCCACTCAGAAGTGAGCACTCGAGCTGCTTTTTGGAGTCTCTGTGAAGCTGTGGGCCCGTACAGTGGTAGTGAGTGGCAGCAGCAGGGGGTGGTGGATGGTCAGCCCCTCTGCCAAACACTGTACACTCAGAAACCAGAGCCTAAGTAATGCATTTCTCGAGGAAGAAAAAAATAAGTATTTGGATACCCTTCAGCATCCGAAGTGAGCCAGATGAGGAGGGCTGGTGCAATCACACCTCAAAATGCCATTCACATCTGCGTTGTTGGTGAATGCTTGGCACCAGCCAGGCACAGAACGTTGCTGACACTTCTGCCGGTTCTGAGATCAGCCTTACAGCCCACACAATGATACCAGTGACCAGAGTAGGTGCCATCAATTAACATCGGTCTTTTAATTTTCTTTTGAAGAAAGAGGGTAAGTGATGTCTCAGGGTAATGATGATAGGAAGACCACAATCATTTAGCCCCAGCGTCAAGATTTGTATTGAATCTAATCACATCTTTCACCACCAAAAGAGGGTTTTTAAGAGGATGGTGCCTGAGTTGTCCCAGAGATATTGGAGGGACAAAGCAGTGGGCACAGATGTCAGGAAAAGGATCTGTGATCAGATCAGGTTCAGATACAGAATGCTGTGCCGCTGCTGTCTGTGCATTCAGAGAAGCTGGGCGACCTCTCCTGCAGGGCCACCCAGCCCTGGAGGAGTTAAAACGTGGGCAGTGAAAACAGGGAGGGAAAAGTGGGGAGTTAAAATAGGAAATACCCAAATAGTTATGCTGTCAGGATACACTCAGATACTCTGGGCTCCTTGTTTGATGTCTGTCTGGTGGCCAGCAATATCTTCAGGTGCTCACTCATCTTCAGAGCTGGGTTTTTTTCTGGTCTTTCTGCTTTCAGTTGTTATTTTAGGCTTGGTTTCAGGGTGACAAAGAGCACCAAATATCCAATGGATGTGTTAGGACAGGAGGTAATGGCCTCAAGTTGCAGCAGGGGAGGTTCAGGTTGGATATTAGGAAATATTTCTTCTCCAGATGAGTGAGGCGGTGGCACAGCTGCTCAGGGAGGTGGGGGATTCACCATCCCTGGACGTGTTCAAGGG